TAAATTGATAAATAAAGGGAAAAATTAAAGCATTTGTCTTGCCTTTCTGTAGAAACTATTTTAATATAAGTAAATAGTATATGAAGGGGGATTTTTCTTTATAGGAGAGTCACAGGTAAAAAATTCAAAAAGAGAACTAGAAAATTACATTTTGCAACCCTGTAATGAAATAACAGATCTGGTAACACTCATAAATGTCTGCCAAAACCATAAGATGGTCTATTAATGGAATACTTTATAAGGAATATAGTAGGGCCAAAGTGTCCAAACCAACCAACTAATACTTTCCCCCTCAATATTTTATTATGAAAATTTTTAACTTTATGAGAATTCGTTAATGAATACCTGTATACCTACTACCTAGACTTTTGTTATACCACTTAGTCTTTTATTATACAGTAAAACTTCTATAAGTTGACCACAAAAAGAACTATAACAAACTGGTCAACATATGGAGGAGGCTAAGGTAAGGATCTAAGCCTGCTGTCCTGATACGTACACAGGGTACCTGTCTAGTTTATGAAAATTAGATCAACTTAAGGAGGTGGTCAGTGTAGGGAGGTGGTCAACTCTGGAGAGTCTCTGTACTTGCTTTATGACATATTTATTTATGCTTTCACTCTCATATGCATCTTCTTTTTTGGTACATTTCAGTATTAATGCAAATGTCGGTATATATGTCTGTAAGTATTTCAGCATGGACTGGTGATCTTACATCATCATGAGTGGACAAACATATAAGTGCTTTCTGATATAGTACAGTAGGAAGTATGCAGCACCACTTGGGAAAGATTCTTACCAAAAAACCCCAAAAAACAAAACTTGAACCTGAATCTAATTAAGGGAATTCAAGGGATAGAGGAGGAAGTTAAAACAATGCCACAAGGAAGCAATCAGCTAAATCCAGAATGAAATTCTGCAGTACGAGTAACCCAGTTTCACCAAAGAAATGGCATAAAAAAGGAGCTGGATCCTGATTCAAACAAACCAAGTGTACAAAGACATTTTTACAATAGTCTTGAATCAGATTGATGAGAAGGTACTGAGGAATTCTTATTGACTGTAATTATGGTATGTTACTTATATAAAAAGTAAATCTCCTTATCTGTTAGAAATGTATGTTGAAATATTTATGGGTAAAAGATTATATGCTCAATGAAGTGTGCTGGGAGATGGTACATTAGTATGTGTGATGGTGCAGAGAAAAGTGAGGCATGCAGTGATCTGTGTATTGATCTGAGCCCCACACCAACTTCATTTCTCAACTTTGTATTGAGGTCCTGCTGTGTGCTGCATACTCTTCTGGGT